CCCCAAAACCCCAAAACCCCAAAACCCCTTGAATCTAAATTAGTAAGATTTTTTAAACTTTCCTGTACTAAGTTAAATTAATTTTTAAAATCAAAATTTGCTAATAATGAAAGATGCTTCCATTCTTTGATGAACTTCAGGTCTTTTATATAAATTGATATGTGACGCATTAGTAGAATTTTCTTGGATCTAAAACTAACTACTATTGATGGCAGATTTATCCTATAATTAGTGTTGCTCTTTATTATCATTTAAGAAATCCTGATTGTGCTCATTCAACCTACTGCTTACATCCTTACTCTTTTTGCCTATTCTATTTTAAACAGGAATTTAAGTCCTGACTCGGTGCTTGTCATTGTCAACGATAATTCTACTTTTGCTTATAGCTTTTTCATTTTAAGTTTTATTTCTTTATGATCTATCTATGGAATTATCTCTTGAGGCGTTGAGAAGACTTTCCTCTAAAAGAACACTCATATCTTGAGCATTGTTTCTTCCAATACCTTGTGTTTGATTGAATAAAGATTCTTAAAACAAAGACTTTTTATCATAATCTTGTTTATTAAATTGAGATTTAGGTTCTAGTTTATTCCCAGAATCAGGTTCTTGTATTGATCTTCCTCCTGAGAAATTGGTTGCATCCCTCATGAATTATTATTGTATATTTCCAATAGTCCTTCGCTTAATTGGCTTTACATTCTAGTTTATCCTATTAATATAATTGATAAATGTATTGTACTTACAACCTCATCCTATTTTGAAATTGATTTCGTTTTTTTGCAACTAACTCATCAAGCAAGCTCATTGTATGTTCTTTATTTTTATCTTGACTTTTATTTTCATAATCATCCAGATCCTCATTTAAATCCTCTTGAAAATCATTCTTTTTCTTTGATTTATAAGAATCTAGCAAAAAGGTTTGATATTTATCCACCCACTCTTAGCTATTGAATTTTTTTGTTGAGTTCTTATTAGAGCTTCTTACATCTCTATATTAACTCTTATTTTTGAGGAGTGAATCTTTAAGATTTGAAAGTCTATCCTCTATTTTTGATATATTTCTTCTATTCATTTAGCTATGAGCGGTCTTCTAGGATTAATATTGGAATCCAGCAAATTGTTAAAAATTAGTAAGAGTTACATCTCTCGAGTTTATTGCATCTTCATATTTAAACTAGCGTTTTATCCGTTAAGAAAAATCATAACTTTTATCAACCATTGTTTCTTCGGTTTCTTATTAATCATTTCCAACCTAAAAATCTTTAATAATCTGTCGATTCTAATTAAGCCTATCTCTTATAAGTTAGTTTTTTAGGTGTAATTTGTCAGTCTTCCCACCAACACTTAGAGCACCAAGTTTGCTTCTATAAGTATCCTCAAATGTCTCCATTCTTTGATTCGTACTCATATTTGTGCTAATTAGTTATTTAAGCTATAAATCTTGCTAGCTATCTTAGTTCTATGAGGTATTATAATTTTATGCATTCATTTTTTACTTAAGATGACTTCCATCTATAACCACTTTTTATCTCACTTTACCTTCAGTTGTAATTGATCTCATAGTTTAGTTTCTATAACTCATGAGGATTGGACCTGCTGCTCGACGTCCAACACTCGAACTTTGTTGATTGAATGAAGTTGAATTATCTTTCATCGTGAGATTCATCTAATTGACTTATTAAAATGTTCCCAATTTCTGTATTTTAGGCTGAAAACTCAAGTAATTTTGAGAGGAATTCTAATTTCCAGGGAATTAACTACCATTAGTCTTGTTAAATTGATCATATGAGAGATTCACTTGCTATTCCTATTGAGTCTTTTTTAGAAAATCCTATATTTGATATTGCAAATAGGTCTTCTACCATTTATCATATCGTTTTTTATACTCATCTATATTTTTGATAGATTGCTTTTCAAGTTGAGTATTATCGAAGTAGGTCAATGATGATGATAAAAATCTGGAGTTCTTTGGGGATTAATTTATTACTGAAGTCTGGAAACCCAAAGCAGTAGGTTTTTGATTAGAATGCATCTTCATGGGAGTTATCATGAAACTTGAATTCAACATTTAACTTCAATCCTCTTTACTATTCTAATTATTTATTTATTCTCGGGCAGTTTATAATAAATTTCTATCCAAATTTTATTAGTCAATCTTGATATCTGGGGTTTTGGGGTTTTGGGGAGATCGGAAGA